CCCCCCTCCCCCCCCCCCCCCCCCCCCCCCGAATAAACAGCCAGAAACTTTCTCGTAAGGAAAGAAAGAGGTGTTGGAGAGGGTGGGCAGGGGAGGCAGAGGCTCTTGCATGCTTTCTCCTGCACTCGTAATTGATTTGTGTTTGTTTTGATTTTGCTGATGGAGGTTTATTGGAAGTGGATTTTTAGTTTCACGCTGCTTAGGAGCGAGATGATTATCCTGACGTGTGGTTACTTTTCCTTCATGTTTCCTCCTGCATGTTCAGCGTTACCCCCCGTCCCCCGAGCAGCTCCCTGTGTGTGTGTGTATGTCTGTGTGTGTGTGTGTGTGTCTCCGGGCGTGTGTGTACACACACACGGAGCCTCACGAGACGCACACACACACAGACATATATATATATATCCCCCAGCACCCTGCCTTAGATTGCAATTTTACACAGGCGGTTCAAATTACTATTACAATGGGACTCACCCTACCGAGGCTCTACAGCACTCCACTGTGGATTCCCAACCGGATTTTTCCTCCTTTAAAAATACATATACACACATATATCCGCGCGTGTGTGTATGTGTATATATATATATATAGTGCCGTGTGCCTGCCTTTCCCGATTGTTATTATCCCACTTTTCTCTTCTTCCTCCTATTTTCTGGTCCCTCCGGGAGAGGCAGGAGGGGGGTAGAAGGGACCGGGTAAAGGTGGAGGAGTGTTTTGGGGAGGGGGGGGATATGAAAGGGGCAGCCCAGAAGTAAGTGTGGGGTGCTCGGGTCTCTGCAAGTCGAGTCTTTGTGATATAAAATTAGACGAGAAATGTGAGCCTGCAGTTTTCCAGTGCGTGCTGTGTGTCTGGACGCTGCTAGATGTAGGTTAAGGGTTAGGGGGCTTGGGACTTGCTGGGCTCCTCTCTCTTTGTGTTTCTGCAAGAGTAACTAAAACCTCCTCATACCGGGCGATAACAAATATAAATCAAGCACATTTTTTTGTTGTTGTTGTTGTTGAAGGCGTTCTCCCTCCTCGCCGTCTCTGTGCCTCTCAGCCCTTTTTCTCGCTCCTTTTTTCTCTCGCTGTCACCGTGTAAATTTATTAACAAAATGAAAGGCCCGCTTTCCATGGGCAGCTGAGGAAGGTGCCTTTGGATAATGCCCCCCAGCCTCGCCGGGGGACCTGCCGGGGATGTTGTGGGGTGATCTCGCCTCCTTTGATATTT